GGGGGAGGTTTAGGTTGGATATTAGGAAAAACTTTTTCACTAGGAGGGTGGTGAAGCACTGGAATGGGTTGGTCCTGCTTTGAGCAGGGGATTGGACTAGATGACCTCCTGAGGTCCCTTCCAACCCTGATATTCTATGATTCGGCTCCCAACTTCCACTGAAATGAATTGAAGTAAGGAGCTTAAATATCTTTGAAGATCTGGGTCCATGTTACCAAGACCTTGTTGTTTCAGTCTGTACCACGTTATGTTCACCAGTACGTTATGGAGTGTCAGTGACTACTTGTGTGCAAAGTTACTGACGTGCAAGTGTTTACAGGATTGGGCCTTAAATCAACAATAATATTGCCATGAAACTGAACAAAAAAAAGCTGTCAATGAAAGCCCGGTTTAGGGATTTGAACATACTCCTAACATGTGGTGTTAGGATCCTAAATGTTGTTGCCATTGTACTAAGGCAGGAAGATCTGAAAGTGACATTAATTCTCACCCTTTTAAGTTGCGTGTGGCTTTTGTACACTTTACTCAGGACAGAAAGCAAAACTGAATCATTCTGCATGACACCTGCCCGGGTCAGCCCCCAAAAGAAAGGAGTCCGGAATAAACCCTAGATAGAGTTACCCAAATGAATGTGACCGTTCCCCATCATGAATCCTGTGAGTTTACCTCAAAGCACTCCATGCTTAAGAAACCCCAGAGATGATTTCTCAAGTGTCTGATTCAGTCATCCATGCTCCCCTCTTACAAACTTTGTTAGCTGCAGCATGAATAACATATCCCTTGCTAATAAAATGTTTGTAATACAGGTGTTCTGTTAGATCATTAACCCACCAGCAAACAGCATTTTCACACTCTATTTCCCCGCTTTATATCCCAGTGTTAACTTGGGGCCTAAGAGGTTAGGCAACACGTCAAAATAAATAATGCAATTATTTTATAAGTTTTTCCATAGAGGAGACATGAACAACTGCGAGGAGATGATGTTATCCAGCCAAACCTTTGATTATTTAAAGGAGTCCCTCAGGGAAATTTAAGAGAAAGTACGTTTCTAGTTCTCATGGTTGTAGAGAAAAGCTGAAAAGAGCAGAAGGGCAACAAAAAAGCCCCAATGTTGTTATTTTTTAAATCTCTTGATTGTGATGCAAATCTTATGATTGTGGGGGCCTGTTTCCCTATATCAGAGTGCTTGGGAATAATGCTGGTGATGCTGGGTGGGTCTGTCTGGACCCCGAAGAAGGGTGCTTTTAAAATTGAGTTAGTTCAGTGGAGTTAGCCTTGTGGGGCAGCCACACAGCCAGTTGGCAGAGTTGTAAAGGTGTTAAACTGTGTCCACCTGGGTGTGAAAGGACATTTCCAATCATGTTAAGGTAACTCCATTAAGCTAATTCGATTTTAAAGAGCACTTCTTTCCTTCATGGGGACAGGGCCAAGGAGGTTGTTGTCACTGAGCTATTGGAATGTCATTTTAGTCTTTGCACAAAATATTTTAGAACATGAAATGGCCATGTCGAAGGGTTGACTCACCTCTGGCATGGCTCCTCGTGGCTGGGTGGGGAGGAGCAGATTTGCTCTCCGGCACCCCCCGCTGACAGTTGTTCCTGGTTCTGTGGTGGTCTGCCTCTTTTTCTGACTTAGCTCTCTAGCCAGGTCCCATTTTAGTTCCACAGCCCTTTCAGGGTACTCCACTCAAGTTCCAGTTGCTTCACCCCCTCTCCTGGGGTTAACTAAGACTGACGGGGTCCTCACCTGGGATTGTCTATGTAGATCACTCAAAGAAAGCTTGAGTACTTCTAGTCCCACTCAACTAACTCCCAGGACTTTACCAAACCCTGTTTCGGGCTCACCATGGGGAGAAACGCTCCTCACTTGCCAGCTTGGTACTCCCTCAGACTGTCAACTCTGGACTAAACTCTCTTTCAGGCCTACCGCAGTGAGACTCACCATCTCCTGCTGCCCTGTCTCTAGCGGCCTTCCCAGACCCCCTCAGCTTCTCAGGCTTCCTTTCCCAGTCCCATGCCCTCCTTCCTCAAGGCCTCTTGCTGGGGCTCTGCCTAATGCCTGCTAAGTTCTTCCTTGCTCTTATTTCAGAGTATGGCCCCCAAGCTTCCTCCTGGCTCAGCCATCTCTAGTTCTGGCTCCAGGCTTCGCTCAGCCTTTAGCCCATGAGAGGAAACTACCAGCTGGTTTCCTACTAGGCCTCCCCGCCCCCGGTGCTCCTTCTTTGATGAAGAGCCCACTCCTCCCCAGCTGGGTTTGATCACCAGTTTTGCCTAACACCCCTCCAGGTGCTGCCCAGGGGCCTAATTGGGCTCAGGCTTCTGTTAACCCTTGCTAAACTAGTGTGGGGTTTATGCATCCAATCACACTCCAGCACATGATTCATCTCCCCAGCACAGCTTTAGGCCCAGCTTGTACATTGATTTTGGGCCTAACCCAAAGCCCAGGGAAGCCTGATTTAGACGCACTTTGGCTCAGGGCCTCGAGGCAGAGTCCAGTGTTCCAGTTCTGCAGCTTTTCCCACTTTACTGCTGCAAGCCCGCGTAGCCACCCGCTCTGTCTCTGGAGAATCTTTCTCCAGCTGGTCTTAAATAAGACTTGGCACTAAAACCAAGCCTCGCTGCAGCTGCCTGGCAGTGCCTAGTGGTTAACGTCTCCATTGGAGAAAGGAGAGAGAGAGAGAGTTCAGCTTGGTATAACAGGACACAAGAGGACAACAGCTATCATGCTAAAGTTTATTTCAGATATTCCATCAGCAGTTAAATCATACAAAATGGCCCGAGTCGGTAAGCAGAGGTGCCAGAATTTCACACTGATTCTTAGAAGCTGAAAACATTGGTTGCATTTTAGAAGCTGTCTTTTCTTTTTACTAGTAGGGGCAGGTATTGCTTGTACTCACAGGGCCTGGTCCAAAATCCATTGAAGTCAATGGAAAGGCTCAGAACCCTGCTGAGGAAAGCTGCTAGAACTTGGAAGATCTTGCCGAAAAAGGAACAGCACCTAGCGCAGGAAAGAGATGGGGCTGGCACTGCAGAGCACGGAGACTAGGGCAGCTGTGGGCCTAGCACGCGGGAGAGGGTCCCTTGCAGAGGATGTTTGGGTAATAGAGATATTTTTTGCGGAAGGTGTGGGCGGTCCTTTGGAAACACATCACCGCAGCCTTGTCACATTCACAGATCTGTTTCTGGCAGACGGTTTTCCCACCTGAAAAATAAACCAGCAGGGAAGCATGAGAACAGTACAATAGAGCCCGGGGCAATTATCTTGAATTAACTGCTGGAGCATATCCTCTCATTGAATGCCTGAGTATTGCAGCTAAGCCATCCTATGTGTGGGAAAGTTACTTGGGCCCAATCCAAAGCCCATTGTAGTCCACGGGAATCTTTCTATGGACTGCAGTGGGTTTGGGCTTGGCCCCTTGCCTACCAATTCTACTGCTGCTTTACAGAGGTGTCTGTGATAACAACCTACATGGTGCATACAGCTTCTTACCAAACAGGAAGATCACGACTCCATAACTAGGTGCAGGGGGCCTGCGGTGAACGTCTCTCTGTTTGTTTTGAAAATGCTGCTGTTGAAAAGAGTGGAATGATGCGAGCCGGCCTGGAGCACCCCGCTTTGTGCTGGTGGCAAAGCAGCCAGGCACACGCCGTGCTGAGGAACGTCCTCAATTCCTTTTTTGCACAGATGCAAAAGGCCGGCACGTCTCCTATGCACCCAGTGACAGCTGAATTTCCCTGGGTGAGTGCCTCCTGGCAATAGACAATAGCCAGAAATCACGCTGCCTGTGACACAGCTGGGAGCGCACAGCCTGCCAGTTTGCCAACTTCTCTGAGTTGCTCTAGAAGAAGTATTCCCTCTGGCGCAGCAGGGCCCTGGGCCTGTACTCAGCTCAGGGTGAAATTCACCCCACAGCCTGGGGCCACCAAAAGGCCTTTGCGCCGCTTAAGTTTTTAAAACAGGGCATAAGTGGGGCAGAAATAGTGTGCAAAAAGAAGAACAGGAGGACTTGTGGCACCTTAGAGACTAACAAATTAGAAATAGTGTGGAGGCCCTCGTCCTGACCTCTCTGGGTGGGGTGAGTTTCACCCGTAGGAAAGCTTGTCTTGCTTAACCAATCACCTGAAGAATAATCACAACCAGGATCTGTTCAGCCTGCTCCCTATTTCAAGCACATTCCACTTGTTAGCCAGTTGAATAGCATTTTCCAGCCTGCTAGTCTCTGGGATGCTCAGGAGGAGTGAGGCCCAGAGACCGCCTGTCTCTACGGAGAGCGATCTATTCAGTTCATGCCTTGGGCTCTACAGTCTCACTTACTGCAGTTACCCGACTGGATGGAGTAAGATTCCAGTTTGGGATCGCAGCCACGTGCCACCATCTTCTTGTAGCAGCAGTCGTGAGCATGACAGCACCTTGTATGAACAGAGTCAGCATTAGTACAGCACTGGGATTAGTTGTTATTTGAATTACGGTAGCACACAGGGTCCCTAAATGAGATCAGAGCACCTGGGGGGGAAATGCTTTGCGCACACAGCGAGACCAGGGCTTGCCCCAAAGGGCTCACAAATCTACAGCACATGTTCCTAGCAGAACATCCTCCCTGTTTTCATTCAGGGAAAGTGGAGTTAAACGCATCCCCTTGCCATTCACCTTCCAACAAAGGGGATGATTCAATGCTGCTCGCTGTTTGCCTCCCAACAATGCAGCATTTGCTTTGATCGATTTCCTGTTTCTCTGCTGTAACTAATGGCTGGTAGCTGAGTCATTACCCAGTGTTCTCAGGAGAGATTTGATCTCTAGTCAGAGGCCTATGCTTTTTTAGGCATCCCGGCGTGATCCGTGCAGACAGCGGATCAGGTAGTGTTGAAAGAGCTGGAGGGGGGGTCTCCTTGAGCAATCTGCATCACCTTGAGCATCCTCAACTGTAGTTGTGAAAAAGCCCAATGAAGACTTGAGGATGTGTGTTGACGACAGGAGCCTTAATTCACGGACCGTTCAAACTAGCTAGCAACTGCCCCTCAGATCAGATACACTCAAATGAATAAAATCCCAGGAGTAAAATATGTGAGTAGTTTTGATTTGGTATCTGGATACTAGCCGATTGAAGTGGCAGCTGAGGATTGAGAACAAACTGCCTTAGTGACATACTATGGGTTGTTTCAATTCTGCAGAATGCCTTTCAGACTCATGAACGCGCCAGGGGCATTTCAGAGGCTGGTGACTGTCCTTACCCAAGCTTTGAGAACTGAAGACATCCTCACGTACTTAGATGACTTCATTTGTTCACACAAAACATGGGCGGGACGTCTGGTAGGCATGGTATGGGTTCTAGATCTTCCTAAGGAACCAGGGTTTAAATTTGTACTAAACAAATATCAGTTTGTGAAAAGAACAGGAGTACTTGTGGCACCTTAGAGACTAACAAATTTATTAGAGCATAAGCTTTTGTGGACTACAGCCCACTTCTTCGGATGCATATAGAGTGGAACATATATTGAGGAGATATATATACACACATACAGAGAGCATGAACAGGTGGAGTTGTCTTACCAACTCTGAGAGGCCAATTAAGTAAGAGAAAAAAAAC